CTCAGCAGCGCTCCACGCCCCACGCGTGGGGCTGCAGCCAGCCGGAAAACTTCCACAGAGGTTGTCGGGAGATGCCTCATAGCAGGAAACTTGGGCTTGCCGCAGCCCTGCGAAGCACCGGGAAACCTCCTCTTGTTTACGGGGTGATGTGCGACAGGCGTGGGAGGTGGGACAGGGCTGCCGGGAGGGTTACGCACCCTCGGGAACTGCCCTAACCCCAGCGGAGCGAGGAGGATGTGCCCTCCTCTGGGGCCGTCGGTGCTGATACCGCCCCAGCCATGGTAAATGGGGTGATGCCAAAGCAGAGCCGGCGCTGGCAGGTCTCTCGCCACTTTGGCCAGCTGCGAACGCAGAGCATGGGGCCCGCGTCGCTGGGGCAGGGCTGCGATCAATCAGGCTATTTCGAGGTGTGGGTCGGGTTCCCGAGGCTGCTCTGCCCCTTGGCTCCAGAGCTGTTAATCCTTTCACGTGCCCCTCGTTACAACTAAATGCCCCGCGGTGCCAGCCGGGCCGGATCCCAGGACTTGTGGCTCCTTGAAGGACCCTGATCGGAAGCCGGGGAAGGAGGTGGCAGCAATGCTGAAGCAGCTCTTTAGCCAAGGACCTGCAGGAATGTTTTAATCTCGCTCAGCGCTCCACTTGAGCTGGCCTCAGGAGGTGCCACCGCCCCAGGGCTGAGAAGTGGCTGAAGAGCTCGAGGCCGAGGGTTTGGGGCTGAGTGGCCGCGTTTGGGGCTGCAGAGGCCTCTCGCGGGGGCTGCTGTGGGCAGGGGTGAGGGGTCCTTCCCTTCCCAACCTTATTTCCCCAGAGAATGGATCGCTGACCCTATGGAGGGTGCCGAGCGTGGAAACCAGCTGGGGAAGGGGGAGCCAATGCATGCAAAACCCTTGGGAATTGCAGTGAAGAAACAAAACTGGGAACGTGGTCTCCTGGCTGGACCTGCCCTGATCCCCATACAGCTGCTGACGACCGGCTCTTCCCATCTCTGGCTGCCCCGGGTCTGCTGCCAGAGCACAGCATCTCCCGGGCAGAGCTGTGCCTGTGCTGGCGGGTGCCCCTGCCCTGTGCCAGCAGCCCACTCTTGCCCGCCCTGCCCGGCCAGAGGCACCATGTCCTTGGGCATGGCTGATAGCAGTGGGAAGGCCTGTAGGTGGCCTGTGGTCCTCA